ACGACGATAGAAACTGTAGAATAATAAAAATTCGCCAATCACGATTGCTTCGGTGGCACAATTTCGAGTCTCATCGATATACGGTTAATAACTGAAGACTATGTATTTTTCTGCTTCAACGAATTTCAGATAACTAAAACTCGAATATGCATTTTACTCGGCGAATATGAATGAACACGCCTGAAATTCGTATTTTGGCCAGGTTTTATTCATAATTCGTTTTTAGATCAATCTCTAATAATTATGAAACTTCAGAAAAGCTAAATAGTGTTTTTGTGTCTATTGGTGTATTCTTTTGTTATCATTTTGCTTGATAAATATCTATGAAATATGATATTTTTTAAATTGTTTGCATAAACGTTCTTCTACATCAGCAATATAGTTAAATATTTAGATATTCCATGTTCGTTTGTTTTTATTTTTACAAAATTTATGGGTTGATTTTACGTCATCGGAAAATATTGGATTATCAGGAGTGAAAACATTTTTCGAAAAATTACTGTTTTAAATAAAAGAAATAGATATTGTTTTCCAAACAAATACAAACATTATACAAATTGTTATTTTATATACGGAATGAAATTAGTCTTTTTATTTATGAATTAATACAAATTTTAGTAAAATCTCCGAATATGTTTATATTTTTGTAGTGCCACTTTCTTGTATTTTCAATAAAAATATGCTGTAGAAGCATTACGTAGCCGCTTTTCTCCGTATACAATTATATTATTATTTCCAGCCCAAGGATTCAAATATTTCAAAGAATGGAGATGAAGGGGACATAGTTTTCTTCCCACGAACACAAGGGTATGAGGATGAATTAAGATCGATCCACTTAACCGTTCGTCGGGAATTCGGGGTGCGTTCATGGGATTTCACGTGGTCGAGTCATGAGCGCAAGCGAAGGGGGCGGGAGAGAGAGAGAGAGAGAGAGAGAGAGAGAGAGAGAGAGAGAGAGAGAGCTCCCGCGTCGAAATAAAGTTATTAAAGGTCGGGGTCCGGGGGGTGTAGCGCACCCCCTGTCGACGTTATGCGTACGAATGAGTTATTCCTTTGCCTTAATTCCACTCCATTAATTCGGGTGCTTAAGTGCCCGTGAGCACACGAGGGGTGGGCGGTGTCATTAAAGGCGGCATAAACATATACGCCCGGCGTGCATCGGGGGAGAATTGTGAATCGCGGCGGTGCAATAATTCCATCCGGTACCGGCGCGCGACTGTCGGCAATGCGCGAATTGTCACGGACAAGGGGAAAATGTTTGCGTAATCTCTATTTTGCATTGTGTTATCGTGCAATTGGATTTCGCAGTTTCGTTTATGCTACAAATAGCATTGTTCAGATCGCAAAGGGCGAATAGATTAAATGTGTCATTCGATCAACAGATTCGAGTACGTTCATTCATCTGTACGCGTAACCCTGCTTCTCATCTTATTTCACAAGTACTGTCGATAGCGATGCAAGCTCCAGATATTTTCGACATTTACGTTATTCCGTGCAGAATCGGTTATTTTCATAAGACAAGGGAACTATAACCTGCGAAGAGTAGCTCGGGGCTCGGTTAAAGACATTTAAAGTTTGCGTGACAGTTAGTTTCATAGAAGTGATTAAAACTTGCTTCAACTAGAGTGACTTTAATCATTAATTAACACATTGTTAACAGTGATAACACACAGGCATAAGCTGGGGCAACTTTTTAATCTCAGCGGGGTTTCCCTGGATGGCTGCCCGCGCGCACACGAATTATTCACTGCTGGTAAAATAATATTTTTTGCAGATAATACACGTAACATCTTACGAGTGAAAGTGGTGCGATTGCAATTTTTGCGGGAATAGTAATTCGGTCAAAGGCGTTTGATTGACGAAATAAGATTATTTAGCATGCCCGATCCGATGGATGAGATATGTCTATATACAGTGCTCGAATTGCTGGAAAATCAGAGACTCTATAACGACCTCGTAGATAACGAAGATTGTATAGCGTACATTGAAAGGGCTCGTGGGTCAGGAAGGAATTAATTCGTGGAATTACCATGACCATAATCGCTTTAGCGCCTGGATCGTGCAAAAAGGCCGAAGGTATAAGAGCCTCCCAAATTAGTGGTGCTTTTTAACACAGGGCCGGCATTTAATCCCATTGACCGCAGCCATTTCTTCCTTTCTCGGAATTGCTCTTTGCCCGCGTAAAATCGATTTTATTAATCGACTACCCAATCTTGGTTACAAAAATAATTACGGTGAAACGTAAAATAAACGAATGAATAGTTGAAGTAATTAATATTTAGCATTATTAACATTACATAATTAATAAAATAATACAATATTACAGTTTTAACATGTATGGAATCTTAATTCAATATTTGATTTAAAGTAAATATGATGTATTAGATATTCAACCGAATTTCAAAACTTTAAATAATTATTACCAATCAAGAAATTGCGTAAATGATCATTTTAACATAATATTTGCAAATTTTTGCTGATTTCTTCAGGCTTCGTAATTTCCAATTAATGAGTAAAATTGTATAATTGCATGATATGTATCTGTAAGAGTTTGAAAACGGTAAATTAATGTGAAATATTAATGTGCAAGCAAAATGTGGAATCATCGATAGACTCTTAAACCTGCACGAGCTGTAACTCTAACTGTAAGTTAGTTAGAATCCAACTGGTATAAATCTGTCGGAACATTATCTGCTGATAAGTTGAATGACCAACAAATGAATAGTCTCGCAAGAGACGTAAACAGATTGCATCTCCATGTAAATTTACTTGCTATTTGAAAATCGCATTTTGCTCATTGGCATTCATGGTAATCCGTTCAACATGCCTCGACAGACCTGGTATTAGGGGTATTGCGATATACCGATGTTAAACGATCGTGGTATTAGATTATCGAACGAAAGGGAGCGAATACGTTCGCCTCCAATGGCAACGGCAGAAGGGCGCGAGAGAGAGAGAGAGAGAGAGAGAGAGAGAGAGAGAGAGAGAGAGAGAAAGGAGCACGTATTACCCACTGGAAGGCACGATCTCCCAAAATGAAAAAGACGTGAACTGAAAATCGACGTGCGAATCGAACGTTCTTTGCTAAAAAGTGGACCGCGCTATTTTGAGGTGTTGTAGGAATTGGAGCGAGAAAAAATCGAAGGCCAGCTCGCGTTTGTTAACGACGGCACGACCGCTATGTAGTCCGCAATATTTCGCATATATTTTCAATATTGTTGCATATTTGAAGTAAACAAATTGCAAACACTTTACATATTTTTCATTAAGATATTCCAGCAAACTATAGTTTCTAGATCCTAGACCACTGTAGTGCGACTGTTTGAATTTTAAATATGCACAATTATGAGTCTTCTGATATTGGGTTAAAAATTGACGACGCGCGCAGTATATCCAATATCCAAATAATATATTGATCCTGGATTTTATGATTTTATCGAATTCAAATTCTCGAATAAATTCGGCCGCGTCCCGCGAAGGAATCCGTCGTTTCGACAGTTCTGTCGCACTGGCGCGATGCGACGTCCGCGCGAATTCGACCTCCGGCAAATCCCTGAATCACAGGCGGGAGCCGTCTTCGCCTTTTTCGGAAACGGGCGGAAAATCAGGGATTCCGCGACGCCACGAAGGCTCGAGGAAGCTCGGTTGGATGGTAGGAGGATTTGCTCGCAACCCGACAGGAATGAGATTCGGTCGGTCGGTACTCTCGGTAACGTTCTTCTTTCCTCCGTCCTGTTTGAGGCTCGAGACATCGGACGCGGTAATCGATATACGTGCCTTTTCTCGTCCCTCCTGTTTTTCCTCGGGTCCCATCTCCACGCCTCCTCTCCTCCTTGATTCCACTTTCGGCGTATACTGTCGTCGCATCGCTTCCCCTTTGTTTTCTCGACTGCTTTCCGGACGGAATCCTCTTTCGAAAAAATACCCGTGAATCCTTCAAATCTATCGTCATCCGGTCTCTCCTTCTGGATTTCCCTTCTTCATTGTTCCGAGTCCAGTGTTGCGATTGTGATCTCCGCATCTGCGGCTAAAAGGACCACTTCTCTGCACGGCCATCCATTATCTTCTGTATATGTTATTTTTTTCCCTTGGAATCATCTTGCTATCCCTTTGTTCGGATATTTCTGGAGGATTGGCTTGTGGTTATCATTCCACGAGATAAGATCTGAAAGACTGCGGCAACATCTTTATTTGCTCAGCCGCTTCTCCACTTTGTTTTTTCAGATACCCGCGTGCAACCGGTAGTTAAATCCTCTCACCGTATAAACAAACATTCGTGCAAATTATTTTATCTCAATTATGCTCAACAGAGCACTTTGTCAATAGAATTTTCTGGGATATACGGCAATCGTAATCTATGGACCGTGGAAGTATCATTCCAATCGATTTTCACCATTAATTAATTAATTCCCATTTCTTTCCAAGCGGAAATATTTCTGCGAACACGTCCGTAAAATATACGAACGAATTAACGAGATATTATTGGTTTACGTGTAACGACATATTTACGATTTTGCATGACGGCGACTGCTCAGGTAGAAACTATGTACTTGTTTACGGTTTATGGGGCTATTGCAGTATAATGTAGTAGCCTGTAACGGGTGGGTATACTATGTTTACACGGGCGTACGGCAATGTGTTAATCGAAGCGTTCGCGCATTCCAAATTACCCTGAACGGCATCGGCTGCGAATCCACTGGCACGTAATTGTTATCAAGTATGACAAACGAAATTTATTATTATTGTTATTATTATCGTTCAGCATCGCGCCGCTGATAATTCTCTCTCGACATGATTAGATCTCGTACGATTATATCGTAAACACGTAATTCGCGATTTACTTCCGCGCAATCGGATTATCGTCAAATAGAGCGAGCGCTTTAAGTCTCGCTCCGGGAACGCGCCCGGGACCAGTCATCTGACACAGGAGCCCGCCGTGAATTGGTGTACGTGTATTGCGATAAAACGTTGCACTCGAAACAGATGAGCGCATATAAATTACGCTGGGAAATAACTTCATCACTTATATATCTTCTCATCAGTCATTCGCTTTATACCCTAAGTGAGTTTTCGAGCACATTCCCGTCAACTTGACGGATTAGCCTCGCGTTATGACGTTTTGGGAATTGAGCACTGTGCTATGTAGCTTTCGCAGCAGTTGACAGCGATGTGTAACAAAATTTAACTCCTTTTCTTTATCGCAATATTAATTTAGAGGTGAGATGCGTATTTCAGGACATGACGCGGATATTCTTTTATGTATTTAAGTTTTCATAATTTATGTGTGCGACAAATTTCGCACAACTTGGACACTTTATTATGTTCCAATTATAAAATGTTAGAAAGATTTACATAGATAATACCATTTTAGTTTTCATATATGACATTTTTTATTTCATAATAGTTTAGATATCTGTTATTATTGGTTTATGTATTTTTAGAATTAAGATATATTTATTTTATTTCCTTATTTCGCTTAAAGTTTGTTTTTTCAAATAATTTCAAGATGAAACATATTGATTTATAGTATTGTCTCTTTAAATTATTATCAAATGGCTAAATACGTTTAATATATAAGCGGTATCTTCCTTGGTAATTTCCCTTGATAACGGAAGGCGATTACGGTATTTCTAAGAAGTAACCAAGTCTTCGCCTCAAGGAGTCCAGGAGTGCATTGGTTCGTGCCAAGTCGTTACATGCGCGTTTGTGATTCCGTCTAAGGGCATTAAGGTCCATGGTTCTCGTGGGCAAGCCTTGCGGGTACAATTCGAGATCAGTAAGAAAGTTTCGTTGCCGAAGTTTCTCAGCCATAGGCATAAGAGGAGGGGTGGAGAGTATCTTGGAAGGACTTGCGGCACGACGATGGGGATGGGGAGAAGGAGAGAAAGCATACATCTTGGATCCAAACCGACCATTCTAGTTCTTGGCGCTGATCTTCCTCTCGCCCTCCATCCGTTGGTCCAGTATAAGAAAACGGGAAAAACTTTGAGCACACCCCTCGCGATACAGTATCCCTCTTGCCTTTCCATTCTTTATGCTTTCTCTGTGCGATCATCTCAAATTTGTTTTTCATCTGTGTTTAATAAAGGGCACTTTCATCTTTTCATTTAATAAGTATTTAAATACTTTTCTTCGTTCTTTGCTTTCTTTTATACACGATTTTCTTTCTTGTTCTTAATTTGCTATATGATATATATCTTCTCGGTGAAATGTCTTGGCACGGACATTTATACTTGTTATATTTTTTTAGCTGTTTGTTAATATTTTTATTTATGTGCGAATTTATTTATTTACCACAATGATTTATTTTTACATTGAAATAAGTTCTTAAATTTAAAATTTTGCTAATAATATGTTTATTAATTATTCTACGCTCTTTCTGTTGCAGGTGAGCATCTTGTAAAAAATTTCTACGTTACTTCCATGAAGATTTGAGTACATCTTTGACAACGAATACGTAAGATTTTATAAAATATTGTGTGAAATCTTTCATTGCCTTAATTTTTAACTTTATCATCTAATCCATTGTTAATGGATAATGATTGAATCTAGTGTTAGATATTTTTAAACAGAAAGCATAGGAATATCTTACAGTAATGATTACTGAAGAGACTTTCATCATATCAAGTTTATTCTTTAAAAATACATCAGTCACACTTTTAGATATTCAATCGATTGCTTAAACTCTACTACTGTAAGGCTTTTACGACTTATTGATAGACATTAATAGGGATAACAAACGCAGCTACTTAAATGTTTAATAGTTTTCAAAATTTATTTTAATACACAAGTACACGTGAATTTACTCAAATATTGCACTAATGAAACAATATTTCTATTATACATATAATGATTATATGCTATATCTATATAATATTATAGAATGTAATGTATGACATAGGTTTTGATGATAGAAAGATTAACAAAACATTAACGCTTTGAAAATAATTTAAATCAAGAGTACAAAAGTTAGTTCTTTTAATCGGTTGGAGAAGGACTAGGGAGGAAAATGTGCTCGCGGGAACACGGTAGCAACTTTGCTACTGGGTCCGTTGCTCTATTCACGTTCTAATCTGGGCCAATAAAGCATCCGTTGCCGGCATGAATGAGTAGAGTGCCTATACTCCACCGGAGTAATCGTGAATGCGTACGCCATCAGTGAAGGGCGACGCCGGGCAATACACGATGACGACTAAGGCGACGACACATTTACTCGAAATAGAAGCTCGCGTAAGGCCCGTAACGGTACACGCTGCACGTCCGCTCGTAGTTGAACTTCGCACTAGTCGCATAATAACTGCCGTCATTCTACGCTCGGTATGAACGTTTTTATTCCAACAGCGGAAAATGGAATCGCGCGTGACGAATAAATACATTTATGTACACGTGATCATTGCCGTTCGTTCCTGCAAGAGAAAGGGAAAGGTCGCAAATACCATATGAGCGAACAAGAAATTAGGTTATCTGTTTCATATGAGAGAAATTTTAAGTAGGAAATTAAATTGGAGCGATGAAAATACGCGGCTGAATTTAGAGGATACGTATGTATCCCAGAAGTTATTCATACATCCTGATATAATCACGGCGTATTAAAGTTAAACAACTGGAAAGGTCAATTGAAATGCAGCACTGAAATATTTCGATACAGCAATTGATCCATTTCTTTTTTACTCTCGAGATATGTATTTTGTAATCAAGGGAACGCCGAACGCCTCAAAAGCCTATACGATAGATTTCCATGGCAGATGGGAGACGGCGCAAGTTATAGCGGTCGTAAGAGTATACCTGTATATAACCCCCGAATATGTTTTCGCATAGACAGTACGCCTTGGGGCGAGCAGGCGAGAGGCGCCCACGTAATACACCCAGACAATATTCATGTAGACTCGAAATCTTGCCAAAGTTCGGGCCAGCGATGAGAAACTCCGCGGGATTGGTTTCGAATATGTTCGGCATTCTCTGTCGGGTTTCATCATTAAGTTATGATGCACGCACATTTCCAAAAATAAAAAAATAAACACTGAAAAATGGAACGAACTTTTTTTCTGCGATACGTTGTTTGTTCGTTGAAAATATGTTGCTCGTTTGAAAATGTTTAGTTTGCGTTGGATTTTGAACGCAATATTTGTACAAACATGAACATCGAAATGACTTTTATGTCGGAGTTCCTTTTGGAAAGATATTAAGTAACGCTGTAAAACGTAATAGGATTATAAGATGCTTTTTTCTTCCTTTAAAACACGTATTTATGCTTTTCTTATTTTTGCTTTTTAAATGCTATTGTTTCTTGCTACATTGATTAAATGAAATACAATAATGATTATTGAGGCTGAAGAGAGGATATACCTACTTATAATGGAAAAGATTAATAAGCGATTAAATTAATCGATTAAAAGATTAAATTTAATCGATCGCATTTGAGGATATTATTCATGAAAGGTTAATCGTTTAGGTTCAATTATTCGATTGTTACGAAATTATATATTAATTTTGATTATTTATTCCAGCGATAATGCTTCATTATTTTGCAAATATTCCGGAAATATCTTTGCTCGCCACAATTGAAGCCGCATTCGACAAAAAATATCCTGCAAAAATTATTCTCTCTTTTAACTACATCTTTATACGCTCTTTTTTTCCATCGATAATCGTGCTTTCAACGCAAATTATTGCCACGCTTCTGTTGGAATTAAAAAGTACGGTGTTGCTTGTCCCCAGCTGTTGACTTCAATCTGTATACGCCGCGCTTTTTTCTTTCGCATGCTTCTTTTCCACGAAAGTCTCGTTGGATACGCGCCAACGTGAGTCGAGGACTGCAATAGCAAACGTCGATCAAATCGAAGATATCGATTATTGTAATTGGCGGTATGCAAATTTCGCGGGATTAGACGATTGACGATCGATGAAGAATGCGTCGCGCAGATTCGCGCAGAATGGCCACTTGCGCTAAGATCGGATGCACAGTAACGAGATAAATGAAAGCGGATCGATTTCGGATGCATGGCACTGCATTGCGTCGTCGGGGGCATCTGCAATGCTGATCATTGATGTATCAATTTCCGTTGCGCGACGTACGGCTCTCATAAGAAATCGTCGTAACTCATATGCACGCTGAAAGACGTCTAGAATCTGTAACGTGCGCCGCTCGCATAAATCAGCAAATAATGCAAATATCGCTCTGCCACGACATATCTCTTACCGAAAGTAGCACAGCTTAGGAGCGCTGTAAAGCACGCGCAAACAACCGCGAATCCACGCTGAGGCGCCAAGAGGGGTGGCAGGAAGGAGGAGAAGGAGGGAGACGCACATGGTCCGGAGCGGGTTTCACGTTAGCGAATCTTCGAAAAACTGGGTCGATTTTAAATGCGACTCGGTCCGCAATGCGACGATCGTAAATAGCGGCATGCTCGTCCATCCATACGCGCCTGCCGTCTCCGTGTAATTCACTCTTTCTCTTTCGCCATTGTTATTCTTTACGCGTTTCCGTCCCGGTCTCCTTACGGTCTTTAAAACGGTCGCGATTTTCCCCTCAAAGTTCGCTGTGCATGGAATATGTGCGCGAATACTGCGCGAGAAGAACGACGAGAACAGACGCGTCGCGCCGTAGTGCGCGGAGATCTCTGGTGATCGTCTTGCTCTCTTCGCATACCACCGGTCACTCCGTAAACCGCGATCTGCGTTCAGGATAAATACCGGTCGACACGCCACCCTCTGCCCTTCTTTGAACGACAAAGAACGCGCGGAATGCGATCCGCACGGTTCGCCTGATTGCAAACCGGAACGAATTTACGGCGTAGCGTCACGTTCCAGTGGCGGGCTTTTTACGGCAGACATTTAAAATTTCAACGATAAGTACGTGGCCAATCTGAATCTTTTAATTGACGTATTTAATCACCGATTTTAATCGCCGTACACATAGTTATTAACCTGTATTCTTAAAACTTAAGATCATAAAAGTCGATTATCATTGTCAATTATAGGTATTATTTCGAGAGAGTACTACGAATAAATACGTAAAATACACATTGATGGAACGTAGCAGTAAATCTGTTTGTTTATAAAGTATACATTTATTTGAATTTACCTCAGTTGCAGGATAAATTAATCACATTTAGTTACCGGGGAGAGTCAAGATTAATATAATCAATTGAAACAATAGACGGAAAATATAGAAATCTTTCATAGAGAAGACACGACCGCAGTGTCTTTAATGAGACAATCGAACGAACGACGTCGAAAGATCTGGCTCTTTGGTCATTAACCATTCGCGGGAATCACTTTTCGCGAGCGCGCGTTGCCTTTTCTCTCCTTTAATTAGTGGCGGCTGGACCCGCGCCAAGAAGCTCGTTTCGCGAGGGCGCTCCTCGCGCCACGGCCGCGAAACGACGTCCGGACCGCAAGCGCTTCGCATTCCGGCCAGCCGCACAAATCTCGTCGACACGCGTGTGACGTTCTGCTTGAGAACAGTCGGGCACGGACAACGGGCGCGGTCGCCCTCTCGACGAGGGATGCTCCGAGGAATACAACCCCGCGGTTTCGAGGCGCAGTCTGGGTACGTCGTGTCGCTTCACGGCTTGGTTAATATGTCCGGGGCACTCGATTGCAGTTTCGCAGTCGAGATTCGCGGTCAAACAGACGCTCAGCTAATTATAGGCATTAATTGAAGAGACAAGTGGATGGAATATATGGTAATATCTATGGAAAATGGCGTTTAAGGAATTTTAATTATCCTCGTTGACAACGGTGTATTATTTGTATTTTATTATAATTCAGTGAATTGCAATATGCGCTGCGATGAGCAAGGAGGAGGATCAAAACGCATGGAATTTCTTTTTTTTTTTTATAAATATTACACGTTACGAAATTGTGCTAAATTAAATTGAATATCAAATATCTCCAGCTTATAATTATTTTACATATGTGAAAATACATTTATCGAATTCAATCGTTACGTGCCTACGCATAATTAAAGCGCTTAAATAAAACGTTAAGCTATATCTAACAAATTTGCAAACGAGATCATCAAATTATTAATGAGATATATTCCGCTCTGCCAATTTTGAATTTATTCTGTAATATATGTATAGGTATCTGTCCGAGAAAGAAATCTAAAAATCTGCACGGAAAGAACAATTTTGTTGAATCCAGATCTGAAAATAATTTTTGTTCAATAATCAAAATAATTTTGTGCGAAAGTCAAAATGATTGCTAAAATATCAAAACGTTTTATAGCAATGCTTATCAGTTTTGACATTCCAACAAATTATTTTGATGATTCAACAAAAAATTATTTTCAGATTTGATTTTAGCAAAATTTCTAGACCTTTCAATAAAATCGTTCTTTCCGTGTAGGAATAATATGTGATCAGACCTTTCTAAATAAGTGCAAGATATTCGTATAATTTAACTTGAAATCGTATTTTTTTATCATAATAATAAAGAGAGTAGTATCCAGATACGAAATTAACGATACAATTTTCATGACATTAGACGCAAAACGCGTCGACGGGGGCGAGTAAACAATCTGGACGGTTTCCGGATACGAGCTCGGAATAATTTTGTTTTCCGGAGAGCTAGAAGAGCAAAACTGGCACCCTTTCTTGTTCCATTCCGCTCTTAGCGTGTCCCCTCTTGAAAATGAAAAGGGGGATGCCTGGATCGCCAAAGGGCCGCCTGCGGGGTTTACGACCCTCGAAAGGCCCTTAGCTAACGACGTTACGCGTCCACCGACGCGCCCGGTATACTTTAGGAGCTCTCCAATTAATTATTCCGCGGGATTTCGCTCCGATTTAATTACGGTTCTTACCGTTTCGGCCTTCCTCTACGGTCTTTTTCTCTTTCTGCCGTTAGACTTTCACCTTATCGTACCTCGGCTGCACCGCTCGATCTTGAAAGGCGAAGATGTGGACGGATTTCTTAATTAGGTGAGGCGACGCGCCGTAGTTTAATTTTCTAGAGAACCGTCCGTTCGTGTTTCTTCGTTCGTTCACCGATCGTAATTAGTTTCGAAATTATATCGTTAATACCAGGTGCTATAAATACGAGCATGATTTCCGGGAAGTCTTATGTTAGCAGTGCGAGTGTTCACCATTCACAAAGTTCAGGTATTATATCGGACGGAAAGTCGGGAAACTCAACGTTACAAGTTATTGGGTGATAATCGAATGGCGATGTCGGGGATGCGCTATTCTTTTTTTTTATCGATTAGCAATTCCCGTTTCGACGTCGGGCGATCATCGGAATCCGAGCGGAAGTCGTATAAATAATTCGCGAGGGGGAACGTTTTCCTGTTCGTTTAGACGAGTCGCCTCTCGATTATCACCGAGTCTTCGATCGGGCTGGCAGCTAATTCGGCGTAAAGTCGGCATATGTCGATGATTGGAAAGCAATCGCGACGTACTATCCTCTACCTTCCGCCTTGATAAACCTCGACGGAGATCATCACCACAGGGAATGCTGCGCGAGAGTAGTAGCAACGTCGTTCGTGAATGCGTACCACGACTAAAACGATTCCTCGCTACTTCTCGATGTTGAGGCCATTAGCTGCATCGGAGCTGTTTGCGGATATCGATAAATACGAAGCTGAAGGGGAGCTGAAGTCTCTAAAAAGAAATACATACGGACGATTTATCTCCTTCTATGCGCTATGACAGGACATCGGTCGAGAACGACGTTCGACAAAAATCGCATTTCCGTTATATTTAGAGACCTTACATGAGAAATGAAGATTATAAAAAGGTTGAAAGTATCATTACATCAGATCGTATCTTCCAGCTATACATATATATATAATATCCGTGCACATCAGCGAAAGATAGCGCAGTATATGGATCTTAAATAACTCTTTTACGGTTCTATAAAGAAGAAAAATTGAAAATAAATTTATGGCTTTAAATTAATTATATCTAAAATTTAAAGAGTAAAATTTTACGTTTGCTTATCTACGTAACACATGGCTCATATACATATACGTAATATATTGCGCCATCTTTCTTGCTCATTATTTCGATTATATGTGATAGACCGATGATGGATGAGCGCGCTAGACTTCGGAGAATTACGGACAACTTGAACGACCGGGTCCATTCCGTGGTTGCGGACGATCACAGGAACGTACTAACGGAACGCGCTGACGAGGGGTCGAGCGTCTCGTACTGACGTGGCATAAAATTCCGACGATATCCGCCCTCCCCGGGGTAATCTCCACGGTAATGTCTTCTTCCGTGGCGCGTGCATATATATATATATATATATATATATATATATATATATATATATATATACACACACATCTATACATACATGTTTGTATACATTTACACTCCCTCTCCCCATCCCCCGAAATGAATTCAGGGGTCTCGGAGTGCCGCGTTTGCTTTGCCATCCGTTCTGTTTAGAAATTTCCGCCCGAGCCCAACCTGCGTGACGCACGCCGGACTAACATGCGAAATTTAATCTCTTGGATGCACTCCGTAGAATTAAAATATGTCCGGAGGGGAACGCGCGAATTGCGCAATGAAATCGGAAGATTGTTTCGTTTGCGAGCAGCTTCAAACGCAGCTTCGCCGTAATCACAGCGTAACAACTTCGCCGAGCGATTAAATTAAAAAGGGCTCTTATTCGTCCCGTGGAAAGCAGTACCCCGCGATACGCACCGCGAACATCCTAATGCAAAATCACGACGGTGAGGAAACGGTGTATTCCACAAGTTAATGCACATATATTATGCAATGCACAAGAGGATAATTTATAGTGAGACGAGCGGAAATTTACAAATACGTTTAACGAAAAACACTCATCGCAATAAATTATTAAATATCATTCAAATTCTAATCTACCCTTATTCTTAATTCCATTTAGTGATTTGCTGCTAAAAGCTTGATATAAAAAGTCATTGTGATAGATTGAGTATGAAAATACTGAAAATAATATATCAATATTAGGATATAAACACAAAAACATTTCTTTCTTTTAATTTTTAACAAAAATATTTATTGTTGTGAGTCGGATGCGATCTTGTATTGTTTTATACATGTCGGATGTTGCGATCTCGTACTGTTTTATATATGAGATTACACGATGGTTTTAAAATACATTAACGCAGGCTTACATATCATATTTGTGATGGACGAAGACGAACAGAAGCGAGGAATGGGGAAGCGAGGACAACGGAAGGTGAGGCTTCTCATCTTAGCAGAGATGGAAAACGCGTTTATCCGACACGGCAAAAAAAGTACGGAGAGCTAATGGCGCGCGTGATGCTGGTGATTCGGAAAATTGTGGATCGGAGGGCGTATAATCGGGCTAATATCGTCAACCTGATTCCCGCTCTCACGTACCGAGCAAACCACTTCTCTTCCCTTGTGCTCGTAGCTTTGCTATCACATCCCTCTGCCCGCCCTTGCCATCCGACCGTTTGTGTCTCCTTTCTCAATACGAAGATCTGAAGGAAATCTCACTAGGAAGCTTCATTTTCCACGGCAACGCCTCCGCTTAAAGCCCGCATCTTCCTCCTTCGTCGTCTCGTACTCCTTCTTTACACGGCCCCGCGGGATCCGCAAAGGACTCTCGTCGCGAGCCGACCCTGAAATCCGCGCCTTGCAATTTTCGTATCCTCCGTGATGGGCACAGCCGCTGTCTCTCTTTGAGGAAATACAGGCCAAGCAAGATTTATGGAATATTATGTTATCGATTTTATTACCGGTCTCGTCTCCTTAACTTTCACGCTAACGAGATAAATATTGCTGATAAATAGAAATCGGTCCGTGTGAATTTAATTTAATCTAACAAATGATCTACTTACGTTGATTACTTTTACTATATTAATTTTTATAATTAATATAGTATTGAAAGAGAATATATCTATTTCGTGAAACGCAGTAACGCGCTGCTTCTTGCTCGTTATAATGCGACGATTTGTATATATATTTTCTCTCTCTCTCTCTCTCTCTCTCTCTCTCTCTCCCCTTTCCCTCCCTCGGTAATAGTAATCGGAGATTTAAAAGACATTCTTTTTCTGTTCATCGTGAGAACGACGTTAGACCAGCAGCAACGGACGGCCACCGTACTTCCTGTTTCTGGAAGAACCGAGCATCGGGAGGAGCTCGAGCATGACATAGGCGTTATCTACGTCCTGATCGTACGGAATTATGTGACGAGTTACCTTCGTACGAACATTTAATTACTTTTCTCTAACCGGAAAAACTTTTTCTTTCTGGAGGCTTTCCATACGTTCATCCTTTCCATTTCATCGATCATCAAAATAAAAAGACTTTTTCTGATTTAGAGAGAGATTGGCTTTTTTTTGGCACGACGATTTGATCAACTCGGGCATTAATTTGGGACGCGTCTCCTTGTAACCCTGAAATCATAACGAGCGTCGCAGATCAATGCTCGTTTCGCTTGGTCGTCCTGTGTAATCGTCTCGCTCGTGCTCGAAGAAGCTTCTCCGCGAACGAACTCCATCGACGATGATGTAGACACTCCGCGCGTGTTATCCATCCCCGTGTCCTCCTCTTTGCTCATTCACCCCCGTGGACTCTCTTTTTCTCTGTTTCTCGTTCGATCCGCCGTAGTAGTCCACGCGATCCGATGGACGATGCTCGGAGTCAGCGTTTCTTGCGCCCCGCTGATTTCTCCGTGCCATCGCCGTCCCTCGTTTCCGAACGACAACGATGATGAGGACACCGTGAGTACGCCGTGACTACCGTCGGATATATCTGCGAAGGATTCATTCGTTCGGTGCTCACTGTTTTTGGAAAACGTAGCATGTACCTATTCCTCTCTTTTTTTTTTTGACCATACCTCGACCATACGACAAGTTCGATCATGTCAACGAGCCTGTACTCCTTTCTCTCCTCTTCGTTCGCTCTCGCCTGGGCGTCGTTACACGCGGCGCGCTCCGCTCAGGATGAGGACCGATCGATATTCTCAGCTCGCGCGGTCAACTTCCGGTCGCCAGACCGAACGACCAGAACGAGGTAATTCGGTGAAACGAGAGTGGTGCGCAGTCGGGCGGCAACGGCGGCGTACGATACGGCACGGACCCCTCCGTTGCACTCGCGGGAGGTACCGCGCGCGCGATGGTATAGCCGTACCGGTGCATCTGGACGATGTTCGTACCATTTGGTAGCCGAGCCTTACCACCCTCCTGGGCGCCATCCGTCTACTCTCGCTCGCTCCCGCCGCCGCCACCCATCCCGCAGGAGTAATAACACCCTTGACTCCTCGTCCACTCGATCTCCCTCTCTCGCTCTGCAGCTTTTCTCCCTGAGACCCCGTCTCTCCTTCTCTCCCGCTCTTCGTCTTCTTCCATTTCCAACATCGTCGTTCCACCTTTCTCGTTTCATGCTTTTCTTATTCCCAACGACACGACCGCGTATTCTTTTCCTGCGCGCACACGGAGTTCTTACACGTGTACAGTGACAATCTCAAGACACCATGGTTGTAGTGGGAAACATTGAATATTCCACGGGATATCTTAACGCGCGGTTCGTGTCCGTTTCTTTTTTCTAGCCACGAGTTCTGGTTATCGTCCTCGAGATAGCGAACATGTAATATTATTACGATCGTTGTAGCTGGCTGCTACTTTGCGTCGCTAATTGGATGAATTCCGGTGCACTTTTAGGAAGATTAAGACGACACACACACATACACACACACACACACACACAGAGTCGACTATCTATATTATCCTTGTATAATCTCCATGAAAGAATTTTGCAATGTAAAGAATACCGGAGAGTATTATTTTGACATCGTGCACTTAAACGCATGTCTTATTATCGCAAGATACATTATCTCCCGGAAAGTGTTTTATAAATACGACTGATAAATATAATCATATGGCGCGTGATTCACGAATGTATGCGTCACATTGATTGAGATAAAATACACCAGACAGGCGCACGCTGCACATGATCACGCCCTGCATCCGGCATCCCCGCGTGAAGGGAGAAGTGGTTAGTAAGTAAGTACAGGGGACTTACACCCTTCAAGATCAAGAGAGAGATAACCGGCTTACACCCCCTAAAGCCGGGTTAATTAAAGGCCATTCCACTAAAATCGTGATCTCCGGAATGACGGCGACTGCGAAATCGCCGATCGTATCGTGTGGACCCGGCGTACCACCTATCTTGTGAAAAATCAATCAGCTTATGCAAGAAACAAAAAATCTTTCGAATATATTACTGAAAATGGAAAACAATTTAGATGTGCGATTAAATCTCTTTAAAATTGAGAAGAAAACTCTATTGTTACATTAAAAGAAATTAATATAGTACTTGTATGATCGCATTTTTTTTTTTAGCGGATAATTTCGAAGAAATGACTGCATAGTTGAACATATATCTATCGAAAAATTAATCGAACGACGGAACATACTTTCCCGTTTCGCGATTGCGTTCACTCTTTGTCCTCGACTTCTCATTTCGTATAAGCTTTTTCACCGGGGCAAAAGCCGAATTATCTCACGTTTAATTATTCTCTCAACCGCGCTCAGTCGCCAACACGACTCGCGAATACACGCGCAAACACGCACTTTGGCGAATGCCACCGGGCTATACACATACACGGCACGGTCGTGTTTGTAGGCCATTGTCGAAGGGCCCCGTTCTCGGTTTAATTGCGGAAACACGTGACCGCCACGTTAAAAAAGTGCCAGAGGGAATCGTTTCTCCTCTCCCTTTCGTTCTCCGTTTGATACCGTTCGTATATATATATAACTAACCATTGTATTATCGCGCACTGTGGTCAACCGGATCAACTTTTCTGTTTGAACTTCAATTTTAATTTAATAAGTGAAATAGTGTCATGTAGCACATACACAAAAATATAACCAAATAACGATATGAGAATGCTGAAATTATCTTTAAATGAGAAGAGATTCTCTTAAGAGATTGTTTATAATGAGGAAGAAAGAAAGAGAGCTAATTTTATTAGAAATCAATGAAATGTAATAGAAGACATTTAAAAAGCGTTAAAAAATATAGATTGCTGTAAAAAATATAGATTGGATGTAAAACTATTGTTTAATCAATTTTATTCGACCAATATATACTCTAATTATCCCTAAAAATGTATCTCTACTTATATATCATTCTAAAATTTCTCATAAAATAATTCCGTACTGATTGCCTGTAACGATCATGCACCACCGGTTTACGAGTCATTTAGTGAGGTGAATTTAAATTTCGCTAAAGTATACCCTCCGTTTTACGATACGCTCTGTCAAACACCTCCTGCATGTCCCTCCCCCTTATCCCTCGCTTCCGGTATTCTGTCCTTTCACTCTCGTTATTTCACGCGTATGTAGTACACGCTCGTGTAAACAAAGCGGTCGAGAAAAAGCGAGGGAACGATAAATGGAACGGGAATGCATACCGAGATGGCCGATGAGGAGACATTGAGTGAAAACGTACGGGAAGGGTGGTTTGATGAGAAAAAAAAATTATTATCCATTCGAATCGTGATCGACCGTGAGTCGGAGCGTTGCGGTGCACGGTGTCCCAGAAAAATCTGTCCTTTCCGTCGTCTTCGTTCTCTCGACTTTCGACTCGCATAGAAGTTCCGCAAAAGACTCATTTAACTTTCTTCGTTTCGAAAGAAATTATCCAACTTGTAACGCGGCACTGAGACCGCAAATCGCAGAATAATGGAAAATCTTTCTCATCGTAACGCCATCCATTGATCCGAGTGGATCGCTCGGAAACGTGACGTTTTTAATGAATAGCGAAGCGCATTTTCATATTCAAGAATTTTATTGGAAATTGAAAAAGAACGTAGTTATTATACGAATTTATATTTTTTGTTGTGGACGCGGACATCGTGCAGTACTTTGAATCTTTTATTTAAAATGGAATTATTCAAAATATCTAATTATAGAATTTTAAAAATAGAATATAAAATATATGAAGAAATTATGATTCTCGATTAATATTACTCACAAATAGAGATGCAATTTTATATATTATTATATTTTATGTATTAATTTCTTTTTTTTTAAATATGCGATTAAACTATTTTGCATGAAAAAATTGCTGTAATGCTGAGTGAGAGATTCATTCATGTGAATAGCTGGAGAGCGATTTAATGAATGTATAAATGTGAAACACAACGAATACATCTCGCTTATCAGGGATGCTTTAAAAGCGCCGGAAAATGGAGGAACTTAAAAATGCATTTGGCGGAAATTCATTACAATCGGTTACATCGCGATGAAAAGTCCCGTTAAACAGACTGAATTAGAGGGGACGTGGGAGAAAGAATGGCGAGAGGATAGATAGCGGGGACAAGAACGTGCAGGGAAGCGAGGAGGAAAAGTCCGTAATTACGGCTGGCAATTATTTTCTCTGGACCGAGCAGAGAAGCTAGGGGCCGGGGTCAGAGGAAAAGGCGAGAACGAAATCGTAGTTACTAGAAGTTAATTAAACGCGGACGGCGATTACGTGATCCGTGGAATATGGCGCGACAATTTCACCGAGTTTCCGCTATCGAAACCTTTTCCAATCTCCTTCCGATTCGCTTTATATGTGTCTTCCGCTGTCTCTTGAAGAATGCATTCCTAAAACATGTTGACTTAATATCAAATTAGTTAAATCAAGTCAAAAAATTTATAGGAACTAATCAATATAATTAATCAAAGTAAATTTGGTGAGAATTGTCGACAGAATTAGCAATTTAAGAATGTGTCTGGATTTTTAATAATATTTCTCGCATAATTACATGATTATACATATGTTTGCAAGAGATAAAACTTACCTTAGATAATTATATTGTTACTTTATTTATATCATTTTATTGCTTTTCAAAAATAATTATCATGATGACGTTATTGAAGACAGTAAAGAAATGATTTGCATATACATATAATAAAAGCGATAAAGTTGTGTAAAATATATATAATATGTACATATACATCTTTAAATAGTTTCTTCTTTATTAACACTTTGTTGGCATGCTTGGTATATATTTTCGGAAATCATGCCGTATGCCCTATGTGTTCCAATCCTGCATACATACCATACATTTCACTAATAGCTTTTAACTTTGAAAATTTAAGCTTACGAGATAAATTAAGGAACAGTATGGATAAGGAATTTCAAAGCAAACAAAAAGTAACCTACTAGTAATTAAATGATTTCTTGGCCATATATTCTTGGTAATATAAGTTTCGTAATTTAAAGACATGAAATTCTTTTTTCCCTTTTTATTTACCCTTTTATTGTTTACTTCATATTTATCATTTGAACCTTCTTTTCGTCTTTTTGCGAATTCGCATACGATTAAAGTTCAAGTGATACGTCGTCGCCGCGATCCCGCGGCTTGGTGTCGTCGTCGTCACCGTCGTGATATCGGATGTGGTTACGAGCCGACAATAAGTTCTCGTCAGATGCAGCGGTTCAACTTTCGCGAGAGACGCGGGCGACCTAAAGTTCGCGTCGGAAGTTTTGGCGTCGCGACTCGCAAGCACAAGGACGCGCGGCGCGGCGCGCGGCGTGTCGCTCGTGTTGAACTTTGTAGAACGTAGCTACATTTAATTGCTGACGCTGTCGCCACGGGATTCCGAGCGTGGTTTCTTCGATATTGAGTATCGCGGCGGCGAAAATATCGCGAAGCTTTAAGAATAATCTTTGTGCAGTCGGGACACTGGTCAGTAATTTCTTTACTGTAAACCAGTGAAGTATTAAACTACAATTCACTACGTTGTTTGATTTTATTATAATCTAACTATTACAATCATTACGATTACTGAATTAGAATAAATAATCTAATTTTTTTTACTATTTGGATCTTTTTCGTGATTTTCTAATTGTAATCAGTGTGCTTATATCAAGTTTTGTAAAATTAATCGTACGATAGTTTTCTTTTTGTAAATTCCTCTATATGAAAGACGTAATTTTAGGATAGTTATTATTGTTGCTTGAAACTAGATTTCTTCAACATGATAAAAAAGAAGTTTGTATTGGTCACGCGTAATAATGGCACATTGATTCGAAATAGAAAATATTGCAGATAGAAATGGTGTCGGAGTAAAACTGCCGTTTCGATTGATCCGTGTAAAATGATATTTCATCTCTGACCTCTGCACTTTTCGAAATAGCCTTTACATATTTCGAATCAGGTCGAGATCAATAGATATATATATTTTTTTAATTTTGATGATACGTTTCATGTTCTATACGTCGTTACGATTACAATTTCAATAATACTTTTTATTCGTAGCCTCGCTTTTAGTATTTTTTCATCGATGGCAAACGCAATCGCGGACGGATCAGAAATTTGATCGCGCGGGAGAGAACACATCGTTCTTCGCGAGAGGGAACATACCGGCGTGCAGAACGATATATTTAAGGAAATACGTACGTGGGCGTCTCGCCGTCGTCTCTCAGAAATATCTCGTTTCAATATTCCACGACATGCCGCATATCGCGCCCTTTTTCCCGAAAATGCATTCTCAGCGAGGGTAGACAGCTGCGTGGGGTGGCAATCTCGGGCGGCGCGAGAGAGCCCCGGAGGTTTACGACGCAGACTGTTTCTCTGAGAGACCAATTCGCGAATTCGACCAACGTCGACGATAAGCGGCGACGAGGCGAGCGAAGGGAAGCGTCGAAGATTCGGTCGGATGAATCGAGGGCGCAAGAGTCCCGGGCGCTTTGAAAGAGAGGGGTTGCTTTGAGAGGGTTGCGAGTTCCACAAGGCGAGGCAGCAGGGACAGCGTCCTTATACTTCAAATTAAAGGGAAATTCGAAATACCGACCACTTGCTCAAAGCGACGTGCTTTCCATCACCTCCTTTCCTCGCGCCTTCGCTCCGTCTTCGTCCTTAATCGAGTTCTGCGCTCTTCGTCCGCGGTTGTTTCCTTCGCTCTTTCATCTCTTTCGCGATCTCTTTCTCTCGAGAGACACTGCCTCTTCTCTCCTCTTCTAAAGGTATTTAAACTTTTCAAATTGAAATTGTTTTCGATATCCAGGTGAGTGCTCTTAAAAGAAAGGAGCGGAGTCAACGCACGCGTACCATCCGCCCATCTGTGAAAATTTTATGCAACTTTGAGATCTCAGAGCGAGCTCAACCGCTCGATTTTAACTCTTTTTTCGTCAACAGTTTTTAACACTCGACTTAATATTACTGCACGTGATACACCGCGATGCATTGCGGCTTTTTGTGCACTGCTCTCTGTGCCATGTTCAACCCTTTCTTATAGTTTTAGTTATTTTCCTTCTTGTACTGGAATTTCAAACTTCTCTTTTGTTCGCAACAAGCAAGCAACTAGCAACTCTATCAAACACTTAAAACAAAATGACTAACTACATAAGAATTCTGAATTAATATTAATACAATTACAGTATTAATAATATTATTAATATATTAATTAGCATTACTAAAAATATACAAATATCTTATTACTAATTAAATTCTGTTATTAATTATAACTCAATTTTATTCGATAATTTTATTTTTTATACTTTTATTTATATCTATTTAAACTGATATGATTTCAAAATATTATTTTTTATTAATTAACTAATTAGATGGAACAGGTAAAATTATTAATATAAAATATCATTTTTTATATATTCTTTTATAATTTATATGTACAAAGTAAAATTATTAATTTGTAATTGCTGAAGCTTATATTATTGGTTCGTGCTTGAACACTTTTATTAGCACAGCTGCATTTTAAATTTTGACTTTTCGCTTTTTAGCAATTTATTGATAGAGCTTTTAACGAGAAATTATGTTTCAAATCACGAGAAGTCATGTTTCAATCATATCCAAAATATCGTAAAATTAACTTTTGCGAAACATAGTATCGTCCCTCGATGCATACCCTTCCATTACTAGGCAACTCGTAACAAGTTCAATGTCCGAGTGTGACATTTTGCAAAGCGTTTCCATTTAACTCGAGTTCACGCTTGATTTTTTAATGTGCCACTCATCCCCAACAAAAATAAACACTTAACCCGTACGAGCAGTCGAAACTTTCTCGCGGGGCTCTCTCTGCAAGGCTACGCAACATAACGCAATTTAACGCAATACAACGTAATGCAACTCAACGCAACATATAAACGGATGTAACGACGTTTTCTTCCGAGCTATTTAACGATGACGCGATTCCCCAGTTGACACTTTAAAACATCCATGTTTCAAATTCCCATGAAAGTATATGTTTCATCTTCGAAACATCACCGCAGGCGTAAAAGTGATGACGACGGGAAATCGCGTTTCTTTCGTTACCGCGCGTCCTGCCTCGTTCTCCTCCTCCCTTCTCGCTTTCTCGGCTTGCACAGGTGCATGTCCTCGCAATGACGCTCGCGCGCGCGCGCGAAGGTGTTTTTATCGGCCATTGTTCGGCCCGTTTTCCAATTGCACGTGCGCGAGCACGTCAGCCGTACGGCGTCATTGTGCCCGATGTAGGTTGCCAGAGCGTGGTGGACCTACTCTTCTTTACACCGGCAAACAGAGAACGCATAACAAAGTAACGTAAAACAATGTCACGCGCGTTCTCCGTTTCCCCTCTCTTTATCCTCCCTGTAGCCTATTCCGCGATATTTCCCGTTTTCCCTCTCGTTTCGCCGCCGGAGCTCGGGTAAAAGCGGCACGTGGCAATAATATCGCCACGAAGCCCTAACACTCACCGGCTGCCTCTTTCTCGTAACGACGTACCCGTACCGCGCGCCGGTTCCTATTCACGTTGAAACTACTGGAATTTTTCGAGCGTGCGAATCTCAAGATAAATGGGAAGCATTTATGAATTTCCGTAAAACCGTATATGGCGGATAAATAGTATCTGTGCTGTTTCGATCAATAAAACTTTTTCTTCTGTTATTGAGCGGTGCACGTCAAAATACGTTGCATTTATATATATAATTTATTTAATAAAATAGCTGATATATTTTACGCTGACAAATAGTCGTTTACAGAATATTAGATAGCTTAAATTATTTGACAGATATAGTTTTTTTTTTCTAACTACAAGTGTCTTCTCACGCATAATTTTTAGATATAATATTAATTAAAATATAATAGATACACACAATATAAATAGTAGATGCAGTCATACAGTATTAATTAACTGACAACATCATGTTGCATCGCAACTTTATTCAGTTCATTTCGTGCTTGTTTTCTGTTGCGTACCTCGCGTTTCTGTTTATCTCTCAGCGAAATTCAACAGATACAGAGGAGGGACATGTTTTACATCAAAAGTCGAAAGCAGTCTAGCCTGTTTTCGTCATTCCTCGTTTCTTCGTCGCGCCGTATAAATAACTAATTCCGGATCTCGGCATATCGAGAAAACTTTGATCAGCTCCCGGTTGCGCGCGTCGTGCGCGCGACGCCCCGACGCGTTGCTTGAATGCAAACGCGCCGCTCCAATCGTACGAGGCATGCATACTTCATTACCCGTCCCTTCTAAGTTCTGCTTCTCTCTCGAACAAAGTACAAAACTGTCTGAATCAAACCCCGGTATTTCAATCCGTTCTTTCTTTCATCAATGCTACCGCAACGTTTATTCGTTGACGAGTCCTTTGTGCCATCGTATAACGATGAATACATGAATCTACATTTAATCATAATGTTAAGGTATTATTTTCGGAAAACGAACATTATTCTCCGTAAAACGCGCAAATGCAGAAATTAGTCACAAAATAATATAGGTAGCGTATCTGTGTCGATTCTATTTATTGTCTTAATAATAATTTAATGTCGCTGAATATTTTCGGAAAGTTATACCAAAGTTATGCTCAAATCCTTCATTTTTTATTAATTTCACTTGACGTTTTTTCAAAATATCGCACTGCGGTGTGACGTGACACGTATTAAAAATTTAAAGTAGAACCAAGTATGTATTACGATCACGGACGACGGAGGTGTAATTTAAATGTGAGTTTAAATTTTCAGAAACGTAAGTAGTATCCGGACCTCCGTTTGCTGTCCGTTCCCGTTTATGGCATGCGTTTATATGAGTGTCGGTGTGCAGGTTCTGGTGCGCTCAAGAAGTTACTTAACTCATGATACGCGACGTTTGGGGGACTTCCTTAATTTCCGGGAATACGGGCTCTTCCGGCTGACGTTCTACTCGACAGCAGACAAGCCCTCATTAAGATTTTAGGAGGCGGCGTGCGTTCTCGTTCGGATAAATGCCCGTGGGTAGTTCGCAGACGGAAGACGAAGTCCAATCTTTTAAATTGTAGGACAGTTTATCATGCAACGATATCACTACTGCGATTTAATAATGCATTATCTTTCTGAATTACTTACTTTCCATTAAAGGATCTATTTTTCCTACGCACACACGCAATATTTGCTATTTTCTCTAAATTATATTAATGCAATTTTTGTTATGTAACTTAGAAGTTACGCGCGAAATAAAATTAGAAGAATATTTTTAATAATAATTTTAGTTCGAATTTAATCGGGAATCTAATAAATTTGAATTATCTGAAAAAGGATTAATCCAGGTATAACGAGAGTATATATAAAGCTTTTTTACTTTTTAAAATAGACACGTATTCAATCTTCTTTGCATTATATATTTGCATTTATTATTACTTCTCCATTTTGTCGTTTCTTTAAAAAGTGAAGTCGAAGTTACGTCCATGATCTAAAATTCGCTTTAAAAGAGAGTTTGTCTTCTTTACGGTCCTTCACAAGTTTTGTTTATCTTTAAAATTCTCTTGTTCTTCTTATCCGTTTGTTTCATTCGCGTGAATACATTCGTTAAAATGGTTCTATATAATAGCTTTATTTCAAAAAGATAAAAATGTATTAATATTATCCCTTTTCACATCCAGTTGCTTCGACAGCATTCCAGAAAGATTTCTTTCTACTTCGTAAAAGAATCATACTCAAATGTCGACGTTGGGTCGCACGTCTTTATGAACGGCCAGCGATTTTTGTTGCGCTATATTTGTCAATTCCCGAGAAAAGATCGATTCGTGAAAGGGGAAAAAAAGAAAAAGATACAATATCGAGATGGTCCTGCGGCTTGGAAAAACCGTGGCCTACGAAACACGACGCCAGGGTAATTTGAGAGCCGTGAGAGAGGGTTGTCAGGCCGCAGGCTATAAGACGAGGGTGCAGAGATGCAAGGCTGGTTGTGGCGACGAGTCCGGGGGTGGAATTTCGTACGGGCTAGGCTGGCTCGCCGCTCGGGTTTCTAAGTTTATTAAGTCCGACCACGACTCTTGCCTTATCTGGCAACTCAGAGACTCGACCGCTATCCGCTGTACCCTCTCCCGTCCCATCTCTCTTTTCCACCGTATACTTCTTTCGCCCTGCAAACCTGCACCGCCCGTAAATTCATATCTCGAATAATTTTCACCCGGCACGGGCCTGAGCGACTTGGCTAACTGCCAGAGTACCTCGTAAGCTCTCTCGCTCTTCTATCGTCCATCCCTCTCTCGGGCAACCCTCCAGCTCTTTTGGTCCCGCGTTTCTGATTCTTTCTCGCCTGCTTTGGTCTCTTATTCCTTGCACTAGAGCGAAGTGCCCTTATTCTTCTTCTCGCCCCCTTTACTGATTTTATCAGGATATCGCCTTGCTCGTTTCCCGTGCGTCCCCGCCGTCCCGGTATTTCATCTGCAGACGGCACTGGGACACCGGCGAGGAATCGCCGATGAAGGCACCGTTATCCACGAAACTCTGTGATCTATGCTCATCGCTGAACGCATTACTTTCCCAACAAAAAGGTAGTTACAAAAACCGTTTCGTGAAATGCCTTGCATTGATTCTTATCTAATTTAACAGAACTAGTGGGAATAAATGGCTTGTATTAAACTTTTCAATCTTAATTATACGATTTAGGAAAATTCTTTCTTTTATTTTTGATATTAATCAAATGTAATTTGATTTGACATCAAATGTAAATGTTTTAATTTTTTTTAATGTTTAATAATAGAAAACTTTAAGAAAGATATTAAAATGTAATTGTAGATTTTTAAATATTGGTTATATAAAGCTTGCATTAAAATATATAGTTATGTGATTTATAAGTATTCTTATAACTACTACATTATAGATACTTTTGTTATGTAACTATAATTGCTATTATTTTCAAAGAAAGCCGTTCTCTTAAAACTTTACTAATATGGTATTAAGTAATGTCAATTCGCTTTCGTGGTTAAAATAGCATATGGATTAAAGACGTATAAACATTTTAGAACGCACGTTTTGCTTTGTATCGCCTCCACGAGGTGTGCAAAGCCGCCGCTGTTTACGACGTGCAACTTAAGACACGTTTTGTGATCGCATTTACAACTTCCGTGTTCTTGAAGGCGCCATCATAGAGCTATATTGAACATGTGCGTAGCATACGTTCAATGCACACTTGCGACGTAACTGTGCTGTAGAATTTAGCAATGCAAATGCATTCTCAAGATCTTTTACAGTCGAACTCCCTAACGTAGATTTATCCAGCTTTCTTGTTAAAATATCTTTTTGCTCTTATTTTGTACCCTAATAACATTCATTATTTATGCACGGAAAGAACGATTTTGTTGAAAGATCTAAAAATTTTGCTGAAAACAGATCTGAAAATAATTTTTTGTTGAATCATCGAAATAATTTGTTAGAATGTTAAAACTGATAAGTATTGCTATAAAATGTTTTGCTTTTACACAAAATTATTTTGATTATTGAACAAAAATTATTTTCAGATCTGGATTCAGCAAAATTGTTCTTTCCGTGTGGCATAAAATTTTTATGTTTACCGTCAATAAATACATTATTTCATTTTATTAAAAACAAATTATAATTAATCCGCAAGAAATTAATTAAACGAAATTAAGATAAAAGTTCTGAAGCTTACAATTAGTTAATAATTTTTTTCTCTTATTTAGAAAGATCACATAAGAAATAATTCTAATCCATGATTATTTTCTTTATTTTTTGTTTGCATTATGTATAAATTTAATCGAGAATTTACAATTAAATTTGTAATTAATTTTTCTTCTTGTTATGTAGAAATTACAATACAAATATTGTTATACGTAAATACGTAATTAACAATGTTCCAACATTAAGGAGGCATAGTAGCGGTAAATTAAGCCAGATTCTCGACTCCACATCACCGTAAGCGAGTATTAGCGAATGAACATGTTAAGTCACCGTATAGGGTAATTCCAACAACGAGGCGATAACTGCGGTTTTAGCGATAATTAAAACCATATTGCCAACTAAGCCCCTCATCAGCTGTACTTTCATGTCCGAATATACTTCAGGATAATCTCTTAATGAGCCTGGAACGGGAACACGAATTAGATACGCGATACAACGGAGGGAACGAAGGGGAAATTCCTTGTGCTGCGTCGTGAGATCGCAGATCGTGAATGCAATTATTGCATCACGACCGAGCGCATCTATCCAAAATGATATACATTGCGGCCTTATTAACGGCAGAAGTCGCTTGTTACGCTCGAATACGAATTATTAAATAAATAAAATTGTATACATATTTTACGCATCATACCTTTATATACATTCGCTTGAAAGGAAGCTTTCAACTTACTCTGAAGAGATTATACATTACATATCTTCGAATACTAATTTTTTTTAATATTTTTATAAAGCAAGCATGCAGATCGCAAAATTGGAAACTTTTTTTATAGTTTATTTTCGCAGAAACCTACGTGCATTGAAGTAACAGACTATTGCTTTGTGATTGCGAAAATCAAGTTTATTTGAGAGAAATCAGGAAGCTTATGGTTCATTGGGAATGCATAGAATGATTTGTACGGCTTACGAGAATTATTTGCATATGGAATATATGCATTCTATCCATTTTACATGAATTTTACGTAGTCGTATAGAGATAAATGTGTTACCGATGCATTTGCGATTCCGGTGAGACGCAAGTAATTTACACAAGCGACCTTTGTCAACATAGCCTAAGTGGTGCTGAAACCACCAGGCGAACCAGTAGTATTAACTTACACTGTCGTGTAATGCATGCCTTGCGAGATTAAGCCATTTAAATGTGCACGTGTATAATTATTCGGAGCCGTACGTAATTGATACGACATTCGTTATGCAAATTTGCATTTTGTATAAGCCGCAAGAATTAAATGCGTAGCATCGATATCGTGTCATCGTGATTACGTGTTGCAACGCATGTTTATCATAAGACCATGTAGAACACGAGTGATTAATTAACAACGCGTGATCACCTCAGAAATAAATAGTGGGCAATAATTATAATTGATAATTTTTCTAGATGCGGTGAGTTATAGTCGAATTTCTCTGAAAACCGCAATGCATAATTAATTGCGCAACAAATTATTAAGTGATGCCTTTCTCGTCCACGGACAGTGTTCAATATTCTTGTGTTCGTCGCAGGCACATTCCCTCTTCCCTGCACCCTCCTCAATTTGCCGCAAACAATTAGTTCGACTAGATCGATAAACTCGTCGCGAACCGCGTTTATTCCCCGTCGTAATGAATTCCGACTTTAGTTTGCCGATATTAGGCGCTGCCTTTACGGCGTCTTTGGGGTCTTCAGGCGCCCGCGTGATTTTTTCGTGGCCCGTTTCGCATACCAAACCTCCTCCGGCGATGGCGCGCGAAGGAACGTAATATCTTCCTCGCGAACACGTCTACGTTATGTGAATTGTAATGCCGGGCTCGTTATCATTCGCGAATCCAGAATGACGGTGTGTAGAGCCTCCCCCTCCCCCTTTCCTTCTCTCTCGACGGGAAGAGGGGTTACACACTTCGTAGATTCCTCACGATCGGCAATATGCCACGGGAACAGCACCCACGGGATCGGCGCGGGCATTAGTATTCCGAGAACACCGTGGTCGGCCGTACCTCCTGGTGTTTTCTGTGCCTGCTAGTCTCCACCTAACCGTTCTCTCTCTATCCCTTTGTCTCTCGCTCTCTCCGTCGCATGTGGGTGCATCTACGTGGTGCGATTGCGCAGCCCTGGCAGCCCTAGCCTCTAGGGCGCCGACTAAATATAAAACATTTTACCTCTGGCTCTCGCGGTCTGACGTGGTCTCCCGACGGTAAACACAAGCACAAAGATAAGTTGTATGACTGTCTTTCAAAAGGAGACAAATCGAAAAATATTTATTTCTCGGGCAGAGTGCAAGAAAAGGCAACCGGGTTTTATTTTAGAACTTTATGTGCAATTTTTAATGAATTATTTTATAAATTTAGATAAAATTTTCGTATTTGAATAATGAAATTTGATATTATTATTATTATGTATACATATTATGCATACATATTATGTATATATATTTGTATATTATGTATATATATTATTATTATTATGTATATACGCAATTAAAATAAATGAATACGTAATTATTGTTCATTTGCATTATGAAGTGAGAGTACTCTTATTTTAGAGTAGCAGAATAACTAATTGCAATTAAAAGTGTGTGGTTACGATAAATATGAAATTTTCATGATGAGTATATAAGTTAAATCACACGTTTCTTTTCTTTTAAGCAATGATTTTCTAAGTTGCTAAAACAATGAACAATTTTTTTGCAAATGTTCATTATGACGATGGTACTTTAATCAGTAGGACTTAATTTTTACTTTGAAGAGTAAAGTTACATATCTAGAGCTTTTATGTATGTGTGCAAAATAATAATTTAAACATTTTGATGAGGAAGAAGGCCTTCCTTCCTGTGGATTATATCTAATCGTCTGAGATGCTTCGCGCGCATTTCGCAATCTGGAGCGGGAACTATATCGGGACCGTATATACGTCCCCCAATTCTATTCTGCATATTAAGCGATCCTCGCTGCCACCCCGTGGACCCGATATATCGAGTATGCCGTCCCGGATCGACAGCGCTGGCACGTCACTTATGAACTCCATGCCGTGGCATATGCCGATGATTGGCCGCCGACTCATCCCTCGCATTTCGATCCCCGTGCGTATCTGCACCCTTCCGTATTCTCCCGCGTGCGATCGTGTAGATCTATCACGTAAAGGCACACGCACGTGAGCGCGCGTGTATGCGTACGCGTGATTCGTTGATAGGAACGGCGGTCGTCAAACATTTTGATTTCGTGCGGTTCGTTGCGACAGTTTGACGTCTCATCTGTGCTCGCAGATTTTCACGAATATGATCCTTATGTGGACTGTACCGAGGGAAAGGTGAGCACATTTACACATTTGAAACTTTCAATATTGTGGCATGGAAGGGAAAATGACACGAGGAATGTAATAAGAAACGTTATTATAATATCAATTTAAAAAAGAATATGATAAAAGTCTACATATATAAATTTACAGTACGTCTTTACACATCACATCTTGTAATATTAACAGCTGAAAGATCGAAAAATGGAACTCGTAACATTTCATAACATTGCGATGATGTCATGTTGCTGGCTTTATTATATATTTCACTTCGACTGAATCAAATCGAGCGAATTTTGGATTCAGGAATTGTTGATATTCAGTAATCCAATTCATATTATTAATCAAATCGGAGAGACATATATCTTGCCAGTCTGCAATTCCGCAGTTACATTTATGAAATCAATTATCTGATACTTTGGACGACAATGTATCGTCCGGCGCTCCGATGTCGTATCGCTTTATTTATTTATCCTATACCCCTCAACCATCGATGTCCCGCTGGCTCTCTATTTTCTACTCTCTTGCATTCTTCCTCTTTCTTCTGTCGTCCGTTTTTCGAGATTCTCCCCTCCCTTGGAATATACTTTGCGCAGCACGTAGTACGCGGACCGTGTTCACAATTTGATGGCACATGGTCACCCACGCGGTCGTGACACGTCCAACCTAATGAACCTCGCATGATAGAGTGCGACCATGGGCCAGCTAGCTAACCAAGCCGGCTAAAAAGGAAAGGAAAAAAAAGCACATACGCGAGAGGAGAAAGTTGGTGGAGGAATCAAGCAAGCAGAAACAGGGGAAAGAGAGGTAAAAGAGATGTACGATAGGGAAAATAGATAAAGAGCGGAGGAGAGAGAAACGTACGAGAGGGAAAAATGAAAGGCCGTCGATGGTGATTAATTGCGCCATGTCTCGTGACGTAACGAGCAATTAATTATTATCGGATAATCAAATCAGCTGTTCCACTAGCCCTCTTTTCTCTTCGACTCTCTCGCGCGAACTGATAGCTGCGATTTTTAATTAGTCGCGTGCCCCGACATCGAATTCGTTTGTTTTCGTTATGTGACGTATGCGGTGTTTTACTCGCGGTCGCGAGCACGCGTGTCTTCTCTCATATCGCATCAGACGATAAAAGCACTCGGCTGTGATTTGTGGGAATCGTATACGCGTGAAGTGTATAAAAGTACAGACAAGCGTATATATAAGCGTGGGTGTTCAGCACTCGCGCGAAACTTTTCCTCTTCTTTTGTCGCTTATCGCTCATCTCGATTCCATATTCCCGCTGCATTTCCCTCCTCTCCGGTCCCTTTTCGTCCGCCCCGGCACCATGGAGTATAAACGAACCTTATCAGAAGCAATCATAAATATTATGCAAACGAATGATCGAACGAAACGCCATCGGCTGACAACCTTCCTCGTCTTCATCCTAATCGAATCCAATATCGCATGCAGGATGTTATAAAGATACGACGAATAGATGAAACGTAGTAGTAGAGGCAACGTTTCGTTGAGTATTATTATCGTAAATATATATATATATATATATATATATATATATATGTGTGTGTATGTGTGTGTGGGAAAGACTTTTTTTTAAAGAAGCAAATTTTATTTTGTCGTTATTGTAAAAGATAACATAGTTTAAGCATACTCAGAATGTAGCATTAATTAAACATGTATATTTTATTTATATAATCCTATATATTTATATAATATATGTACCGAGATAATACAATATTTATATCGAAAATTACGACATAACAGAAATTAAGCGAATTCTATTTTAGTTTTCATAATACGAAGAGATTGATGGCTGGCTTTTCTGGATTATTTTAAGAAATGAGAAGTAAAATGAGAATAAACCTCATATAGCCACTTTCGCGACAGAAAAGTTTAATAACAATTTCAGACAATCTTTTTCCTCCATTACGGAATTTCCGATTGAGTTCTCGAGCAAATCGTTTTCCAACTTTCGCACTTTGTTACGTCTGTGATCGAGTCTCAAGATTATATTCCGTCTGTTGATTTATCTACTTTCGCGCTCGGGAAAAATACGAGTGCGTCACCTAGGGACACTATACTTTTGCACCACCGCGCGGAGCAATCTCCAAGATTCTTCGTAACGATAACGTTACCGTTCTCGCCTTCGTGGACTTAGTCAGCTGGCACGCACACGCACGCCCTTTTTTTTTCCTTTCCACGTTTCTGCACGACGCGTGTCCCCGAGGATGGATACGCAACACGCGAGCATGCAAACGAACGTTGTGACTCACCGAGTCCGCCGAATCATTAGGGCGTACAGAACAAAGAGGAGAAAAATTACGAAAGAAAGAGAGATGGAGAAAGAGAGAAAGAAAAGAGTTACTATATACTCGATACAAATTATCTATTAAAATTAATGTCGTCGGGTGTTGAAAGATATGCAGGCGCAGAAAAATCCGGCTAACCTTCCGGAATAAGAAATAAATTTATTTGCGCGCGGTATATCGTTCCAGTGCGCGAAAATAAACGCGATGGGGTACTATCGAAATTTACCTTCCAATTTCAGACGGATTTTCGTGCCGCACGAATACCTCGCAATCCTGGCACTAAGTATAATTGCTCTGGTATGCCGTGAGTGCTCATTAAAGTCGTTGGCTTTCCCCTGTAGCACGTATATGTCAACCGTGCGAACTATCTGACGAGATTCGCGAATTAATTCTCGGGTTAGCATCGACAAACGTAAGCTCGCCGGTATTTCTACGTGAGAACGCTGTAAGGTACAATTGTTGCTTAATGCTGAAATAACCGATACCTAATAATACATAACGAACATGGACAATTTGTACACTGCGACGATTTCGATTATCTGCAGTAGGTATAGTTACAGTTTATAACCGTAGGAACATCGTTTTCGCTGCCTCATCGTTTCCATGGAAATATTGTCGGAAAGTACAATAAGCAAGGCAGGCTGCAGGCGTGTGATAATTTGCACTAACAATTGACTACATTAAAGCTCGTGAAATAGTATGAATATATCGCTTTTGATTATCATTTTCTTTTATTTAAGTTTGAAAGTTCTAAAAAAGCAGGTTGCAGCTATTATATTACATTTTCCCATTGCGAAGACCGATTAAAACAGACAGAAATTCGTTTAACATCTGACGGCTTAACCAGCTCGCAGCGACGTAAATCCGGAACAATTCTTTCTCGGCTAAATACAACGGTGTGCTTTACCATACTTTTTAATTCCCACGTCAATTCTCCCTCTCTCCCCCTTCCTCCCTCCTTCTCTCTTTCTCTTTCTCTCTCGCCGTAGTTATCCTTTCTTTCCTCACTGTCGATTATTCGAGCGAATAACGCGAATAACTTGCTCATCCATGACACGGCCACGTTTCAGCGATTGAGGGAAAAGAGCGTGACGCGAAATATGAAAGGCAGAAAGAAATGAAGAGAGAAAGAGAAAGAGAGAGAGAGAGAGAAAGGGACATGTGTGTTGATCAAAGCAAGACACGCAAAACGACCGAGAATATACGTACACACAGCCTTTCGTATGCGTGCGCGCGTGCGAACTACCGGCGTTTCTCGGTCCCGTTCGTGGCAAATCCAATTATTCGAAACGAGACCGCAAGCTTTCACAGTCTCGTTCAAACCCATCTATTTATACTGCGCGGCCGGGCGCAGGCGAGAACGGGAGAATGAAAAGAGACAGCGAATGAAAGGGGTTGGTGGCTGAAGGGGGTGACGAGAGTTGAGGTAGGTCCGCGCGGGGGGTGTGCAGGAGGTTGTGCTTTCTCTCTTTTCCCTTTTCTAAGCGTGGCGAAATACGCGCCGGAAACAGTACTCGTTGACCACCATCCGTTCTCTCTTTCTCTCGTTCGAATTTTCACCAATCTCTCCCTCTCCTCTCCTCTCTCTCTCTTCCCCCCTCTCTGGTTGCATTTCTCTCGGCATGCCTAAACGCCGCAACCGCATTCGCACATATACGTGCGCGTTGATACGATTGTTGCGACCGGGGACGCAGGGTGGATGCAACGGCGACGATGTTAACGTCGACGACGGCACGTCCCGACGTTTAGCGACATGATGGTGATGCTGGTTGCGGATAGCGGGGGAGGTGGTTGAACGACTACAGCGAGGGAGCGAATGCACACTTAAAGTGTAATCGCGGCTGCAGGCGGACTGCAGGCGGCCGACCGACCGACCGACCGACCGGCCGGCCGGCCGGCGGATCGGTTAGTAAGCCGACGACGGCCTCAATAGCTCGCTTCCGTGCTGGTCAACCGGCGTTATTGCCTGCCTAATGGCAGGTACGTACGGCGAAGAACGGCCGCAACTGATATCGCCTCTAAATTGGACGGGTTAGCGAGTCAGCCGTGAACACAACTGCCACGAAAATTATCTTTCTGCTTCAGACTGCTTCATGATCATCTCCAATTAATTGCTTAATGTATTGAAACATGTCTGTATAATTTGTATCATTTATTAAAAGTATCAATCGTATTTTTTTCGAACTGATGTTGAAATATATTTCTGTGATATTTTGCGATTAATTTCGCTTACGTTAAAGTTATTAATATAATAATGCTAATAACTCTTATTTATAGGAAACATATATATATATATATATATATATATATATATATATATATTGCACAATTTTTTAAACTATTTTTAGTAAATATTAAACGAATCCGAAAGTATTTAATATGGACCAAAATTACATTAGCAAGAATATAATCCCGTTTACCTAAATTAAAACGTAAAATTTTAATTTCGTTAACTCTTCTTTTTTCTCTGTTAAATGCTTGATATTGCACAGAAAAAAATAGGAAAAAATTTCAATGCTACTAAAACACAGATGTAGTCGGATTTCAATGCTACTGAGACATATGTATGTCTATCAGTGTGAAACAAAAAAGCAGAGTACGATTAAAACAAAACCAGATAAAACGGCGTAGCGAGAATCGAGACCGAGAAGAAAGTATACACGCAATATACAAATATTACACGCTTTTCTCTCGCAATTCTCTGAGCCTGTTTCAGCAACTTGGAGCCTCATTGCACACAAGCTGGCAGGAGTCGAAAGAAGGTCTTAACGAAATATTCAAATCCGAGCCGTGCGGGAAGAGCTGGGCTCTTAAATAATAATGCCCGCTTTCGGTATGCTAAGGATCTTCTATTTTCACGGGAAGAACACGGTCTCGAGGATTCCTGCCTCTCTCGAAGTTTCGGGTCAAAGGAACGCCGAGCTCGCAAACTTGGGCGCGACGCGCCACGAAAGAGAATGAAATAGTCATCAGAGAAGAACGCAGCGGTATATAATCTCACGGTTTTCATTCCGAGCGACGTGTTTGCAATGATACAGGTGGATCTTTTAACCGCTCTAAGTCTTACGTTCAGAAGAAACGTAATGCCGTTGCAAATATTATTGCACGAATCTTAATTATATCTAATTTTATTAATACATAGTTAAATTAATTTATTTGATATGAATCAAACAAATCGATTTTAAGGAGAAGCGAGAGAAATTAACATCTTGTAAAACTTGTTGGATATTTATTTACATAAAATTCTATGATATTACTTTAAAACAGTGAAGAAGTGACGTTTGTCATTTAATACAGATATTTTACATCAAATTAGAATTTTATATACTGCTGAACTATTTAAAACTAAACTCTCCTTTAGATCCTGATGACGATTGGTATTTATAGTCACAAAGTTTTCTCAAACCATATGTTTCTCTTGTTTTATTTCATATACGCTTTTCATCATCAAACAATGCATTTCATGACAAATTTTCTGCAGATTTTTCTTCTCTTATGAAAAGTATATGAAAATTTTTGTTGAGCGAACGTCGATCGTAAAATATCAAAAATTTCGCAATTTCTAGTACGAATTCCTGCGAATTGGCTCTCGCGGTAGAGGATGAAACAGTCATCAGGAAAGAACGCAGTGGTATAACTCTCGAATTTTCATCTCGTCCGACGTATCCGTGGCGCGCACGTACGGATCGCGTACATTCGCGAATTCAATCTCGTCGATCGGCAAGCGTGTTTTTCGCGGATTTCCATCGAGCTTCCGCTTCGCCTTCGCTGGTTACGTTCAATCTGTCCGGGCGACCCCGGCCGTTTCTCTCGCGTCATCGCCATCGCATCGCGGCTCGCTTCCAGAATCGATGACGGAAAACTCGCCGCTATCCCGTCACCATCGACAATTCACGGCTCCGGGTCTCGTTCATATTTTAGCGCCGTATTTGCGATCGCCAAACAATCCGAGCCAGCCTCGACGTTATGCGTCGTGAATCCAGCTCCCGAGGACGCATCGAGTGCCGCTTGTTTGTGCCGCGCTCATTTAATGAGTCAGGAATTTCGAGCATTTTATCGCCGGCGACGTGGCGCACTGTCCGCAACCGGATTCGAACACGCTGTTGCATTTTAATGGTAGGTAGTGACGATCGCACGGCGCGACCGTATTCCCCGTTGACGAGCCGTTCGATCGCATGAAAAATTGCAGCGGCAATAATTCCCATTCCCACTCTTCCGAAATGTGCGACTTTTATATCTCGTGGATAATATATTTCCTCGAGTATTTTCCAATCGCGCCGTGATTTTTCACGACGCAATAGTATTTCTCGAGTATCTTGGACAGCCCGAGAGATAGCTACGACGTAAATTGAGTCCTGATAAAAATTGAAGTAATACCGATGGAAAACTCAAACGATACGAAAGTTAATTGGTTTAACCGTTTGATATCGAATCACGACACTCTTATTCGAGGCGATATAAAATATCGCCAAGTATAAGCTCGGAACAGTAAGATCGGTGTATCGAGAAATACAGGACAGATAACGATCTAAAACATCTTGAAAGTTGATTAAAAATTGAAGCTTCTTCGATTTTCAAGTAAAATAAACTATACTTTTATTGGCTACCTCGGCTCATATTCGCCTGACTTGTTATTAGTATAGTATCGTTAGTTTTGAAAATTGGATATGAAAGCGCTCCTATTAAATTGAATTTTGGACCTTAAAAAGAGATTTATAAAGTTAGATGCTCAAATTATATAATTGTATTATCTACATTGCCTTCAAAATTCCAATATAAAGTTTTTATTGAACAAAAACTTTTCGTGTTTCGTGACTCGCCGTTTAGATAGATATGATAATCACCTTTTACGGAGGCGGCGTGATCTCTTTTGTATGAAACGATATGTTGGTAGGGAGGCAAATCCATGGGAGGCACAAATCCAGATACATTATCCGGCGCAACCATAACGGTCAGCCGGGAATCGGCCAAATGGAGCCGCGCGCCCTTGGTGGTCTCTCGTACCTTTCGTATCCACGCGAGTTCGTATATGTATATCGCTCGCGTTACGAGACTCTCCCTACGGGTCTTTCCTTCGTTCCTCTCGGTTTTTCTCCGTGTCTCGCAGCACACGTCGGCCGTGCGGGGTGCACCCAAGATACAAACCCTACAACGAGGCTGACGGGCTATAGCAACCCCCCGCGGCGAGCCCCGGCCGACCGCACCGCGTTCATTCTGTTAAAACAGCAGGACGCGTGCGTCGCGATTACTGTAAGAGCGTTTCTGCGGTATTACGTTGTCGAACTGCAACATATACGTATAGATTCTATTATTATTATCGCACATTTGCGGTCGTCAAATTGAAATGCCACGTGCGTGGAAAGTTTTTCTACGATCTGATGTTCTACATTAGACTCTCATTAGCAACAGAAGTTTAAACCATTTGCTAGAGATTCAAGACTCTACATGGATAT